CTTGTATCTTCATTACTCTATCTTGTATATTATAATTACTGAAGCATGTATTGATGATCCTCTGCGCCTTTGGACATTCCCAAAAAAGATGAATGTCATTTTTTACTGCTTGCCCACAAAGTTCACAGTCAGTATTAACATTAATGTATTCCCCACTCTTGTATTTGTTTGTAACCTCCCTCTCATCAAAAGCCATTGTGAAATTTGAAGGGGAGGGGGGGGGTGAATTTATTCCATACATAATCCTTCCACCTGGGGATGTTTCCTTCCCCTTGCACCCATTCATACCCCTCAGTTATGCTATAATGTCTCTGCCTAGACATGTTTCTAAATACCTCTCTGATTTTTATCATTTCCTTCCCGTAATAGCATGAGTCTTGGCTGGGGGTATAATCCCAAAAGTTTGTTGTCTTGATATATCTTTCATGTATCCATTTTACCCAAAGGATGTCGTTTTTATCAGCTACATCCCAATTGAGCTTCATTATTGCAGCTTTGTTCCAGTTTGTAGCATTTTTCATACCCAGCCCACTATATTTCTTCTTTTGGCAGACCTCCTCTCATTTCACTAGAGGTACTTTTAAGTATTTATCTGAGCTACCCCATAGGAAGTTCCTACATATGGCATAAAGCAAACTCCTATAGTAGAGGAACACATTGAACTTCATAATGAAGTAGTGACTGGGGAAAGTTCGGAACCTACTGTGCCACACGTTGAGGAAGATGAAGGTTTTACTACGGTTAACAGAAAGAAAGCTTTAAGAAGAATTGAAGAGGAAGGTGGTGCGAGAGTTTTTGATGTGTGGTTATGCACTAAAATCTCGATCAAAAAGTGAAAGGTAAATGAAATGAGATGAAATGTGAATGAGATATGGAAAAAATAAAGAGTGTGTGTAATGGTGGAAGTAGGGATGTCGAGTCTATGGGGATAGCGTGATTGGTTAGGAATCAAGAGCAATGTGCAACTAAACACTAATATCAAATTGTTAAGCGTGAACCAAGGTCGAAAATTAAATGAATGATATGTAACTGAATGAACTAAGCTACTGCAATAAACAACACAAAAATTAAATGCAAGGAGGAAAATGAAAGGAAGCCTAGATTAAGAATTTCATACTAATAATGCAATTGACAATGAACTAGAGGGACAAGAGAAACACCTAGAATAGCTAATCGTCCCAATTTCATTTTTGTAAAGATCGAGAAAGAATCTACTTGATAAAAACTCACTTTCATTGCACTCGTCTCAAGAGAAATACAAAAAAACCAAACAAGCTCTCAAGTATCTTCCACTTTCATGGTAGGACTTGAGAAGGAGACTCACAACTAAGCGTTTAAACCCCGATTTCTCAGTGATTAAGAATCAATTTCGGAATACAAGAATGTCATTGTGGCTAACAATACCATCCAAACAATAATACGAGTAATCTCTACAAATATCTTAGATCAAGATCTCATAATCCACAACAATCCAAATACAACAAGAAAAGTGGAAAAGCTAGTAAAGTATTCTGTGCCGAAGGGATTAGGAAACAAAGTGAAAAACTTCAAAAAATAAATAGAAATAAAAAAAACTAAAAATTAAAAACTAAAAACTTGAAAAGAAAAAACAGAAAACAAAAACTTAAATAAAAATCTCCCCCCACCCCGGAAAATTTTGAGGCCCAATACTCCTTCCTCGTTCAGGGTTTATATCTCAGGCGCTCAGTATATATACCTAATTCTTACTTCCTGCTCAACTTTGGAGCTCGGTTCAAAGCCACATGGGGAAAAAGAGGAAGCAGCCGGAAGCCGCCGCCAACACTGAGCCGGAATCTGCTCCTGCGGAGCGGCCGAAAAGAACACTTTTCGGATGGAAAGATGGAGGCGTGAAGAAAAAGGAAAGCGATTCTAGGGTTTTCTTCAGAAACAAAGAGAAGATTTTGGTCACATCCTCTCGCCGTATCAGCTTCAGGTTAAATTGACCTCCTTTTTTATGGGCTCGTTCTATTATTTCTGTTTTTTAGGGTTCTTAGTTTGGTTCAATCAATTTTGGGGATTTCAGGTATAGGCATCTGATGCTGAATGTGGTGTCCCTTTTGCCTCATTGTAAGAAGGACAGTAAGGTGGAGTCCAAGAACATTAAAGGCGCAACCTTGAACGAGCTGGTTGAGCTCAAGAATTGTTCTTCTTGCTTGTTTTTTGAGGTATTTTGTGGTGTGTGTGTGTGTGTGTGTATTCTGAAATGTGTAGCTTGAGTTCTGTATCATATCCTAATGTGAATGTTTATGCTCCTTTGGTTCCTAATTAGTGTGCATTGTGTGCCCAACACATAGTGTTAGAGGAAATGAAAGTGGTCTCTTTTTCATAGTAATATTTTTTAACAAGGAGAGGTAAGTTTTAAGAGTATATTCGATGGAAGTGTGTGCTGATTAGTATCAATCATTAAATGTAAAGGTTAGTAGAATTTTTTATCACGTGAATCCTTTCAAATGTTTCGAAGAATGTATGTTTTTATACTAATACAGAAATAAGAAAAGGTTGCACACTAATTTGGAACAGAGGAAGTACATTTTTTGCTTACAAAGGCTCTCATGGTTTCAGTTTTTGAAGTAGCATTGGCATTTCAATTCCAGCATCCTGTATGCCATGCTGAATATGTATAGAAATTGTTTGTCCTAACATAATATGCTAAAATGTTTTTTGTTCTTGATTCTCTCAGTGCCGGAAAGGGAAGGACCTTTATTTATGGATGGCTAAGTGCCCCAATGGTCCTTCTGTTAAGTTTCTTGTTAATGCAGGTAATCATTTGCCATGGATAAATATTTTTCTTCTGGCGTTCCATCTGATTTCTATTGATTATAAACATACTTTATCAACAATTTGAAATGAAAACTGGCCCTCACCATTATTCTTTCAATGGTATATGCTATGCAGTTCACACGATGGAAGAGCTAAAACTCACTGGAAATCACTTGAAAGGATCACGCCCTATCCTAACATTCTCTAGCAATTTTGATAAAGATCCACACTGGATGCTTTTGAAAGAAATGATATCACAGGTATTTTGCAAGGGTTTTGGAAATACTAGATTTCATTCTTCGAGATGTCTTATGTTATATATCATTTTTTTTAATTTTTACTGCCAGATTTTTGCAACTCCCAAGGATCACCGGAAATCTAAGCCGTATCATGATCACGTATTTGTGTTCTCTATTGTTGATGCCCATATTTGGTTCCGAAATTATCAGGTTTTTATATCTTCTTTTTCCTTTTATTCTGGATTTTTTCTTCTATTCCTCTTGATCTGGTGACACCCTTATAAGTGTATTTAAGTGTACATCTTCACTGCAACTCTTAAAATCTGTTTTCCATTCAAATTGGTCTAGAACACCAACTTTTTCAGCCATTCTTTGCCTTTTTTCTTTCTAATTTAATCAACTTTCTCTGATTTTATATAGGACAAAATCTTAATAACATTTATTTAGGGGTTAAGCTTATAATACTGGTCTGTGACACAATTATGGCTTGTTTTATATGTAAAACTGATTATATGTTTTAAGTTGTAAGCAAATTTAGGGTGTAAAGTTAGTGCCGTATAAAATTCGAGGCTTGCACCTTTCCTCCCAAATTAAAAACACCTCCAAGCTTAAAAGGATTTTGTTATGCATTGTAATGAGGTCACGATTTCCATCTTACGATTAGTAGAAGGTGCTTGGTCGTCATATTTCTTCCTAATTACATCACAAACATTATTCCTGTTGCTTTTTAACATTAGAATAATTTATAAATACCTTATTCGTGGAACAGATATCCTGTCCCCATAACAGTGGAGCTCAGAAAGTAGACCGTGGAGACCTGGAGAAAATGACCCTTGTTGAGGTTCGTATCTGTAACTCTTTATTTGCAGACTCTTTTATGAGTAAATTTTAATTCAATTTTCTTTCCCTTTCTGTGCATAGGTTGGTCCGAGGTTCTGCTTGAATCCAATTAAAATATTTAGTGAAAGCTTTGGAGGGCAGACTCTTTACGAGAACCCATTCTATGTCTCTCCAAACCAAGTAAGATTTACTAGCTCCATTGTTGCTTTCGGATGTCTGCATTTAAGCACAAATCCAATTTGAACACTAGCTTTAAAATAGCCTTATCTTATCCAGAAACAATTTAGAAACCCATTGTTGTTTGTTTGGCCATTCATTGCTTAACATACCCTTTTCAATGTTGATATTTGGTTTTCAAACACGTGTTCTAGATACGATCATTGGAGAAAAAACAGAAGGCGGGCAGGTACGCGAAGAAGGTGAAAGAAAAGACGAAGAGAAAGATGCACGAGCTGTCAAATCCAATGGAGCTTGATGAATTTGCAGACATGTGGAAGGATTGATTGGTTGAAGGTTTAATTAAGTTTTCCCTTGGGTCATTTTGATTGGTGGTGGCACAACATGCAAGTGCTACCAAGAATTATGTCGTTTTTGGTGTGATTAGCCACTGGTTTTTACAACCTTATACCATGTGTTTTATGTAAGAATTTCTTCTATTTGAGCAAAGAAATCTGTTATTTGAGGGCTTGTTAGCTATTACTCCCCTCCCCCATAGGCAAATTCTTTTGTGGACCAAAAGTTCATATTCATTTTATTAACTTTAGTGCATTTGTATGACAAAACAAGTAAACTTTTTGTGAAAAAGAAAATCTACATGCCGTATCGAAAAAAATACGAGAAAGTTCATATTTTAAATATAGAGATTGGGACCATGTAAGCTGATCCGTATATCATACACTCTGTCTTGCCATGGAACCAAAACGTTTTAGTTTGTCTCAAACTTTCACACTTAGATTCTTTTTTAGTTTCTCTCCTCCAATTACACCTTTTTTAAAACATTATTTGAGCTTTATGAGGCAAGAATACAATGCGAACTTCATTTTGAGATGGAGTATATAGCTCATATTACAAGCCATATTTGAAATTTTATTTGTCCAGCAATTGAATATTGTTTCATGTTTGGCTCTTAAGAATTCAAAATAATGTCATTGAACTTTATGGAAATGAAAAACAATACTCTATTGAATTGTACCCAGTGGCATTAGAAAAATGTTGGTAATAAAAAGAAAGCAAAAGAGTTAATCCGTGACATCACATTCAAACTGTTTGACAACATATTGTATACCTAATCCTTTGTCCTCTCCAAACAGCATATCTGTGTTAATAACAACTGTGAGTAATTTTCCCATTCCAAAAATTTTAACATCATATTTTCTTCACCCAGAAAGACGGTAAGATCGCCCGCGGAATGCTACACCCGAACTCCTCTCAGGCTCTGTGCGGTTACTACTCGTCGGGTAACCAATTCTCCACCTTGCCACCATTTTGTGTCTGCGGCAATCTCGGTTAAAGAAAATTTGAATTTGGGGAATGAGAAATCTATCACGGCATACGGCAAAACGGGCAACGGTCAGCCCGATATAGACAAAACTTGCATTTTTGCAAGAGACCGCTTCCAAAAGGGAATGCAGAGGGCAAACATGTAAATATTCAAAATGTGAGGATATATTTGCAAATATTTTTCAGAAGAAACAGAAGAACATGTAAAATGAGATATTTGTCCCAACGGAAAAGGATACATCCATTTTGGTGTTTTCAGCAGGGTCTTCCCAGTGGAAAGCGGATGCAGCACCGTTAGGAAGTAGTACAGATGGCCAGCTATGATGCCTAAGAGATCTGGCATAATTGGTGATCCAAAGATCACGTCTAAACCCAGCATGGCCCACGGGAGATAAAATGCCTGAAATTAAGAAAATATGAGGCCAGCCCTACAAATGGCATGTGATTAAAAAGCCGCAATAACATCAAAGGAGCTAAAGCATACCTTCAATGTCACAAGTCCATAAATATTGATGTTGGCATTCGGGAATTCTCTACTCCAAACATATAGAAGCATGAAGACAAGTGATACTCCTAAGAATGGGCTCCAGAAGTAGGGGATAAAGGATAAAACCTAAGCACAAAAGATCTTAAAACAAGTGAAATGCAAGGAAAACAAATATAGCCACTAATAAGAGCCTGTTTGGATAGCCAGTGTAATTGGGTGTAAGGGTGTAACTACACTCTTGGTCATGATTGGATGACCACATAATCACACTGGTATCCAATCGGGCTTTAATGTAGGTAAGGCATGAAGGCATGCTCGCATTTTTTAAACAAGTGTTCATTGAGCTATCCAGATAGCCGATGTAGCACATACACCCTAGTAAAACAACTACCATAAGTACCATATGATATGATTGTAACGTACCAGCAGTGATAAGGCTCCAAAAATCATCATCCATAGGAAATCAGCCGTGCGTCTTTGAAAAGGACCACTCTCAAGTTGAACACCATATCTAGCTCTAAAGCAGAAAAGGGGAGCATTAGTGCACAAGGTTCTTTATTCATACTCAGTAAACAAAAAAAGCAACAGCCATACCATGCAAAAATCTTTTGGGTAGGTCAATCAATGATTTATATAACTAAAGTTTGACTTCCATTCAGAGGTTCAATGCCATATTGGTCCTCAAACTCCTGCCTTCATATCATTTTGTACTAGTGAAATAATTCAAATTATTCTATTAATGCAAGTTTTAAAATATTACGGAGTACTTCATAGTAGCAAAAACATTATTTTTCACTCACGTATACCTAAAATCTATTTTGTCATTCAAAAAAAGTGTAAGAAATTTAAATTCATCATTACAAATATAATACTCCGTAAATGATTATGAAAAACTAACATGCTTTAACAGTTAACTAGTAACAACTAGTCAACCTCTTTTTTTTGGGGGGGTGCCAAAAATTCCTTTGCACATGTCAACACCTGACTGTTGTGATACTTAATGAATTAATGGATTTGAAACTAAACAATTGTACCAAAATGATTAGAATTAGTAAAATTTGGGGGACTACAAAGTTAACATAAATGAGAACAAAATGATAGGAAGACAGAAGTGAGGACCAAATATATTTCCAACCATTAAATCAATAAAGAACTTTGTAGATAGCTAGACTGGTTACAAGAAAATAATATGCAAAAATTTGTTGTATTTCAAATATCATATGGTTGGTTACATGGCCTTTCATTACCAACATAACTTGGCAAAATATGACTAACGTGTCTTCTTTTTCCCCTTTTTATCACATATGGAGTACCTTGATAGCGTGAATTGCTTTATATTACATGAAATAAGCTTTTGGACATAACATTAAATGCACTTTAATCTATTTTTCTTAAATTGATATAGATCTCTTTGATGCTAAATAATCATACTCGGTCCCGAAATAAGGCGCTACAATTTATTGGCTGATTGGGCGCGGTTATTAATGAAGTTGGAAGTGTGAGGTTGAATTTTGTGCAGAGGAAGGAGAAATTGTGTGAACCACAAAATTCCTCCCCAAAGGGAAAGAGCAAATTTTTTTTGAGACAAATAAAAAAGAAATGTAAAACTTTTTCATGAGACGGACGGAATATCCAAGTAATATACAATATGCAGTTTGTTTCATCCAAAGTACATATATCACATTAAGATGAAATTTCATTGAAATTAATGCAGATCATTTTGTTGTGTGTGGTAGGAGATAAGGCCTGATGGAAACCCTAGAAAGACTTAATTGGGTCAAAGTTCATTTAATTAAGCTTGCAAATGTATGTATTATTGATAAAAGTAAACCCTATTTATAATACTCACAATAATCATGGTGAGTACTAAATAGAGTTCCAAGTTATTACAATATCGATATTAGGAATATTAACTAAAATAGAATATACTCTGTATATATTAATATGAAACTTGGACTAGTTACTAATAACAAATTAACAATACGCCTAGTTACTAGTAATAACAATCATGGTTATCACGTTGACAAGTCCAGTCGTTCGTGAACGTCGGTAATTTGTCATAACTCAACACATGTAATTATTGCAGATTATATACTATGGATATATAAATTTATATCGCTAATCATTTCCAATATTTTCCAAAAGCAATAAATATAACAATATTAAAAGCAAGAGATAAATCACTATTACAAACTTCAAGTATCCAGCTATCAAATATTAGGATTTGAAATTATTGGAAATTTAAACAAAATTTAGTAGCAAACATAATGAAATAAACAAGAAAAAACACAGGTGCCATTGTTGATGACGTGATAATTATGACAAATAGAAAATTAATACTTAATTTAATAGTTTTAAAAATTACTTAAATTTAATAATACTAATAATCATAATAATAAAGATACCCTATGACTATATCACATTTACTTTCAGAACAGACGTTTGAGCACAAGTACATGTTGTCAATTCAATTTGATATATTTACTGGTGTTAGATTAGCTCTGCAGTGTCATTTACCCGAGTAATTTTCTACGGAGTAATAAACTATGGCAGCATGAGTGAATACTTCCAATCCCAATTTTCATTTTTCTTTTTGAGAAGTAAAACCTTTCTTAACTAGTCATCTTCTAGCCATGCTAGTAATTACTTACATCATCAAGAGGCGAATCCCAAAGTTGATGGAAAATTTGCCAAGGAAAAAGAAATTTGATATCAATCTCCACACCTAGCAAAAAAACTACTATTTGTCAAATATTTATCTTTTTATTTGAGAAACTTTAACAGGCAACTGACCCACTGAGATCCAAAGTAAGTAAAACCAAAAAAAACAATCTACAGTCTACACTGAAGAGTTCTGCATAAGCATATCAACTGAACATAAACAAAGTTCACTTTGACTTGTATGTGTAACTGATTGAAGAATATGCTTCTATAATGAACATTATGTATAAAGCACAAAAGATGAGGTTTCTTGTAAAAGGGTTCTTGTAAAAGGGCCAAAACATCAACAGAATGAAAATTCAAAAGTTAGCTTTAAAAAATAAAGCTGAAATGTTCATATCATGACTGCTTGATCTCCATATTTAAAATACTGTGTGTGTGTGTGTGTATAAAAGAAAATATTGACTATAGAAAATGTTTACATGGCAAGGAAGTGATATTATAAACCACATATAAATGTTCGAAATTGCGTATTGCGGTTTTGAGGCGTTTTTATGTCAAGGCGTATTGCGAAGCCTCAAGGCGTTTTGAGGCATAAGCCTCAATCTTAAAGTTTAAAATTGTGCATATAATATTTTCAAAAATAATATTGAACATTATCAATAACATAATTAATCCATAAATCTTTAAAAAGTGTGTTGGCAACGTTAAATATCTCAAACAGACACACACAACAAAGTCTAGCATGAAACAATACAAAATATTTGCCGAATACGATGTCAATAATGTAGATACAATTTTCAAGTTCAAATGACAAATTTGTAACAATAAAAATGAAAAAAAACTATAAATTAATGACAAATTAGTAAGAATGAATGTTACCTTTAAAGAACATAAATTGGTAAAAAAAATGGTGTAAAATAATAATAGTATTAATAATAATGTTTCAAATAGTAATAATAATTATTAATAAACAATAAGAGAAGGGATATGGATTAAGGAATACGCAATGAACCTTAACAAATTTACCCCATAAAAATAAACCTTAAAAAAGAAGAGAGACCGGCCAAGTAAAAACAAAAAACAGACGAGTAAATAAACTTATGAGGCTCATCAAAGAATTGAAAAGCAGCTGTGCTAGGAAGATCGATGTGATGGAAGCTAGATGAAAACGGTATAGAAGAGGCAATCATGTAGGGTTAGGATCTATTAAGGTAATTTAACTCTTAAATTTTGTAATTAAATTACTAATTTAAGCCTAATTTTATTTTTGGGGGAGAAAAAATGGCACACGCTATTCTTCGCCTCAGTATGTACGCCTCAGGGCTTACGCAATTGCCCGCCATATCTGCGCAATATCTGTGCAATCTTTATTGCCTAAGGCTAGATTGCCATAGTGTGCAATCTTTCCGAAAATTCCATGAGGCGCTCCATATGGTGGGTTACGCCATGCATATACACTAAAAATTCAGAATTAAATGTTTACCTGAAAACGGTAGAAAATCAGCTCAGGCAACAACGCAATGTTAGCAGGATTGACTACCCCAAGTGCAAATGCAACTGTTACAGCCAAACAAGCAGTCCCATAAGCCTTGCTTATTGGTGGAAGAGATTTGTAGTATCTGCAACCAATGAAATGGTAGAGGATCACAGTGGTGAAGAGATAAAATGAACAATATGTGCAACTTGATACAATGTTACTGTCCTCATCATCGTCACCTTAATCCCAATTGTGTTGGAGTGGGTGGCATGAAATTAAAATTGTAAGAGAATAATTTTTTTAACACAATCATAGTGCCAAAGTTTTAAATCAAAATCCCATCCTGTTGCAACCTTCCCAAGAAAGCGCAATGAGATGACTTTCCAAAACCAGCATTGTCATAAGTTTTTCCACTTAGATAATATCACGAACCGACGACGAGTTAAGATAGTAGCTACAGTCAAGTCTCATTACAAAATTAATATTGTGAAGCAATTAATCTAACATACACATCGACAATTTCACAATGCAAAGTAAGAGAATAACAGTAATAGCTAAAACAAAAGTAGGCTTCAAAAACGTTCTCCGGAAGCCCAAGAAGGAAATAGCCAAGGAAACAATGAAATGGGAATGAAAATATACAGGTTCTGTGTACAGAGCCACAGACAAAACCACAACCCATAACTACAAAGCTTTGCAAGAAACCCTGCACTCTTCAAACCGTTTACTCAAATCAAATCATAAGACATTATCCCTTGAAAGAAATTGTACGACTCCTAACAATAAAGTTACTCTATACCATCAGTCCATCACAATATGCAATTGCAAGTCTGCAATTAGATCCTTCATCAGATCTTGTGTTCTTCTACCTCCCAGTCCACACATCCCCAATTCACCTTTGAATTATATGAATGCGTTTCCGATTTTGCCCTTAGTACATTCCCAGACTTAAATTCCTGCAAACCCTCTGTACTCTAAGCCCTCAACACAATCTATGCTAAGAATTTTCACTTTCCCTGAACATTCCTACCGAGTAAATAATAAACAATCTCCAAATAACAATCATGTCAATGCAATTTCTCTTAAAAACAACAGTAGCCGCGCCACTAAAACCTATTGGGAATCCATCCATTCCAGAAAAAAAATTCATCGACAAACAACAAAGCATTTCAGCACAAAAATTGAAAATCAAAACATCCAAACAATCTGCGTTCATATATGTAAACAGTGAGATTGAGAGGGATATACTCAGCAGGAGAAGCCATCGCGAACCCGTTGATCAGTGAAATTTCTTGAGCTGCAAGTTCAAATATATACGAAAAAATTATGCGACAGAGTATTTATATCCAATTATACGCGAAGATTAGTTGATTCTTGTTGAAGACTTGAGGTTTAATTTCGTGAAGAAAAAAGAAATGAAATAAATGCAGGCGTTTGATGAGTTGTTCGGACCAATGGAAGCTCAGCGAGCACCAGAAGCTTTTATGCATCAGCCCCTGAGGATTTTGTTTACACAAGTTGGTTATTTTGACACAAGATTGATGTCATATTATCACACTCACTCATATTGACTATCTTTCTAGAGTAAATTCTATAAATGGTTTCTAATTATATACTCCCTCCGTCCTAAAACTTTCTTCCCGGTTCGCAAAACGAAGAAAAATCCCAAGTTTTTTCAATCTATTTCATTTAAATATTGGTATAGAAATAAAAAATAAAACATACATATTTAAAAACTACATCAAAAGTTCAACAAAACAAGTAGTGACAATAATATTTTATTTTATCATATAGGCCATGAAAAAACACAAATAAATATAAATTCCCGTGAAGTTGGAATAGTGCTCTGGGAAGAAAGTTTTAGGACGGAGGAGTATAATTTTTCAAATTTAGTTCCCAATTATAAGATATTTTATAAACTGTCTTCAATTTTTTAAAATAATTCCACAAATAGATCTTTTCACCATATATGACAAAATATTTTAAGTAAAATTCTCAAATTGATCCTTTCTAGTAAGGGTTTTTCCCAAAGTAATCCCCAATAAGCAAAAATTACTAATGTGGTCTTCTATAATTCAGATCTGTTTCCTAAGTAGTCTTTTATCAAAAATACCTATTAAATACGATTAAATAGAAGGTATTTTGATGCTCTTTATTATATATAAAGTATTTAAAAATCCTCAAAATTATTTTTTTAAATTAAGTGGGAGGCTAATAATAAATAATAATTACCAACGTGGTCCTTTATAATTTAGATTTATTCTCTAAATGGTCTTTTGCCTAAAATATCTATTAAATGTCAGTCAATTAAAAGATATTTTGATATTTTTTATCATCTAGGTTTAAAATATATTCTCGAAATGCTCCTTTATAATTAGGTATTTTTCGAAATTGATAATTTTTAAGTGAACATTTTTTCAAAATGGAGCATGAGCCAACTCGGGGTGTGTCCCTTCTTCTAGTAGCCTCCAACTTGATTTAAAAACTTATTTATAGTTAAGATAATAAAGAGCATCAAAATACCCTCTATTTAACTGTCACCTAATATACATTTCTTATAAAAGACTATTTGGAAACATCTCTCAATTATAAAGGATCACGTTAGTAATTTTTACTTATTGAGAATTACTTTGGGAAAAAACCTTATTAGAAAGGACTATTTTCAGAACTTATTCAAAATATTTTGTCATATTTGGTGAAAAGGATTATTTGTGGAATAATTTTAAAAAACTGATGACTATTTATGAAATATCTTTTAATTGAAGACTAAATATGTAAAATTATATATAATTGGGGACCATTTATATAATTTACTCATCTTTCTACTAGGATTAGTAAGTACTAAATTGATTCTAAAAGTTCTCGGAAAAATTGTAATACTGAACCAAAAAAATACAATAAAAGACTAAATTTTGTCGAATCAAACGATCGGTTTGGTGTTTAGAAGCGGTACGGGATAATATATATATATATATATATATATATATATATATATATATATATATATTACTCCCTCCGTTAACTACGGAGTAAAATACTTCCTTTTTTCTCTTTTACCAAAATACTTCCACTTTCTATTGTGGATATTTCTATATGCTTATAAGCTGGTCAAAATTACTTATAAGCTATTTTAACTCATAAGTCAAGCAAATGACGTGTTTCTTTGTGTTTATAAGCTTACTTATAAGATGCGTATAAGTCACAAAAAATAAGTAGGTCTTGCCTACTTATTTTTAAGCTAGTTTTTTTATTTCTCTATTTTGACCAGATTACTTACAAAACTATATCTCATCTATTATGAATATTCTCAAATGACTTATATATCATTTAAGTCATTTTATCTATATGAAAGAATATTTAACTTATAAACAGCTAATAAGTTAAAAACCACTTGTAAACAATATGTCAAAAACAAAATTAGAAAGTGAACTACAAGTATATACTTCTTAAAGAGTATTTTTCTCATTAGTTAAATTAAGAACTGTTTTAGTGAACAGAGAGAGTAATATATATTATCAATTGATCTTTTTATATTTCTCTATTAAGTACTCCCTCCGTCCTAAAACTTTCTTCCCGTTGCGCAAAACGAAGAAAAATCCCAAGTTTTTTCAATCTATTTTATTTAAATATTAGTATAGAAATAAAAAATAAAACATACATATTTAAAAACTACATCAAAAGTTCAACAAAACAAGTGGTGACAAGAATATTTTATTTTATCATATAGGCCATGAAAAAATACAAATAAATACAAATTTCTGTGAAGTTGGAATAGTGTTCTGGGAAAAAAGTTTTAGAACGAAAGGAGTAATAATTTATCGCTTTACGATTTTACATATATGGTAGAGGAGAAAGGGGTAGGGGGATTTAAAGAGTTAAGGGTAGGAATAATTTTTTTTTTAACGAAGCACTTAGAGACCTCAATTTGACGTGTTACAATATGACACTCAATCTTGGTGTCAATATAACTCGATCAGTTCAGGGGGTGTGCAATTTTAGAGGAAAATTAAAAAAATAAGACAATTGTATCGAGTCTCAAAATAATCGAGCCGTTGTTCACATATTGTGTGAGAGTGTGAGACTACTTGGTTCTGGTTTAGGGCTCCATGTGTTTGTTAAAATGCCTCAATGAATTTTTGCTATCAATCATGAGAATCTTGTTTGCTTTGTCTAGGGGCATTGCAATGAAAATAAGGGAAATGAAGTTCATGAACAAAACATCATCAAAACATTCTTGACAAGAAGATGAACAAAATAACAAATACTTGATGAGCATTGAAACAAATGGACATTCATAAAAAAACCATTACAGTACAAAAATGTTGACCGACGTAGACCGTAGTTTGCCATGGTTTATCATACAAAGCTGAGGCAAGATAATCTACAACAAAATGCCCCCCCCCACCCGCGACCATGATGAATCACTGAATCAGAAGCCGAACTTTGATTCAAAAGGACGTGTTTTTCACCAATGGCGCTTGTTAAATGGTGCCCTTGATGAAATACATGCCGAAAAATAAAGCCAAGAGTGTGAGAAGATGACTCGAAGCCTGCACAGAAACTCTCTGAACAGATGATGATGATGGTGCTTTTGAATGGCTTGCTGTTCCATTGGTGGTAGTTGCAGAAGCAGCTTTGTTCCTGTTATGAATAATGAACATAAAAATATGCCGTGTTTGGTTAGGGCGCTTTTGCTCGTTTTGCAATCACAATCACCCTTTCTGTGTATATTGAACAAAACTGAAGTGAAACGAAAACTAATGAACCAAACTAAACTGAAAATATATAAGTTAAAAAAAACACGCCGTTTATCCATTTGAATAGCTAATGTAACATGAAAGTCAGATTTCAACATACCCAGTGGTCATGTAGAGACAGTTGTCATAGCCTGCAAACAAATACATAAAACATAAAAACATCATAAGAATTTCACTATGAAGGATTAGTGAGTACTACATTTAAAAGGCAGATGAACTTTCTCATGAGTAATTTACTTAAATAGGACTAAAACATAATTACTTTCCTAATATAGGACCATATGTTTCTATTTCCCAATGTAGGACTTTTGGTCATTATAAATTAGTCATTATTCAAGTAAATGTTCATCATTACTAGACATTATTCCTCCCACTAAGACATTAATAGGTCCTATTTAGGGACTAAAAAAGTTTAAGTCCTAGATTAGGAAAGTCATTATGTTTTAGTCCTATTTAGTGCAAATTTCACCTTTTCTCATATCAATTCCTCCCTTAATAATCTTTCATGAACCTACAACCATAAGTTTAGCTTATGGTTGAATTGGTTTTTTAACAACATGATTTAAAGAAAAAAACGGAAGCAATGGATATTAAAATAAAAAGGTTGGAATATGAATGATATATAGTATGCATACTTGGGTCTTGGTCCGTTCTAACACCGACTCCTCCAAAGCTGCAAGCATTGGCAGTGGCTCCATGTTGTTGGTAGTAACTGTTGAACGCGAACGAAGCATGAGAAATCGGGTTGTCCGGTTGGTAACAAGGCTGGCTCGGTTGAATGGCCGAGCAATCCACATTGCCCGAACCACAAGCCCAAGCCAAAGCGTTTTTCAAGTCTGCGTCTGACGCGTTCGCCGAAGCAATGCACCATGTCCCGTTGGCACTCGTGAGGTTCGCGCCCGTGCTCACGTCCACAACACCCTTCCCGGTGAAATCCAGGCTGTACACGCTCGTCTGGTCCGGGAAAAACATCCCCCAATTCCTCTCGGAATCCAACCCGGGTTTCCTGTTCTCATTGAACAATGAAAAGATGTACACGTCAATGCCCACCCCGGGCTTCCCTGGGGTTCCAGTATTGTTGATTACGTGGCGGATGAGGTTCGTATTATACGTCTGGGCATTATCTGGAGTCGCAGCGGTCTCCTTCGGCGACCCCTTGGAAGGCCACCCGGTTTCCGTCACCATGACATTGATTGTCTTGAAATTCAAACCCATCAAAGCAAAGTTGATCGCGTCGATCTGGGCATCGAGCATGTTGGTGTAGAGCAAACCGGTGTTCGGGTCAATCACTTCCGAGGACGACTCGAAGAGAGCATAGTCAAGGGAGACATTGGTGGAGGAATCTCTATACGCATAGTAGGGATAAACATCAACCATGAAAGGGGACCTGTTCTCTGCAAGGAATTCCAACAAGGGTTTCAGAAAACTGGCATGTTTACTGGCGAAAGCCCCGGCAGAAGGTGGGAACGACCGCGACAATACACCCAAGGAATGGGTAGTGGAAAGCTTGATCCTCTTGTGAAGGCCAGCTTTTCGAAGCGATGCTAGTACGTTTGTGAGTGCTGGGACTACCATGGCAGACACATTGGCCGGGGCTTCAGTGACCTCGGCACCCACAGTAATGTGGGTGATTTTGGTCGCCGGATAGTAGGGGAGGATGTTGTTTTTTAACCACGAATCGGTGTTGGTTTGGAATTGGGAGAACGGCAATAGGTCTGAGTTTGGGACTCCAACCATGAGTTCTATCCCGGTGTTGGCAAAGGCTTTGATCACTTGGATGTTTGAGTCATATATCCTCACATGTTTGATGTTGTGGTTCTGGATTAGCTGCACGGCTTTGTCTGGCGTGGGGAGATCGTCTCCGTTCCTTCCATAGCAAACCCCAATGTTGCTTCCTCTGCAGATGCCTATTCAAGAAAGTCAAATTTGAAGGTTTTAAAGCACAAGTGAAATTTCTAAGATTCTTGAAAAAAGCAATATTCTAAAGAAATATATGCACTAAATAGCACTAAAACTTAAGTCATTTCTTTAAATAGCACTTAAATTGGTTTATTCCTTAAATAGCACTTAATAATGTCCATAATGTCCAGTGGTAGCGAATATTTACTTGAATAATGACTAATGCATAATGACTAAAAGTGCTACATTGGGAAGAAAAACACATGTGGTGCTATTTAGGGAAAGTCATTATGTTTTAGTGTTATTTAAGTAAATTCCTCTATTTTAAAAGGGCTCAAATTTTTTGACACCGAGGCTCTGTTAAGGTTGGGCTGGGGATGGGTCCACGGGTGGGCGGTGTTGGTTTCCCAGGGGGTACGACCTATCCCCAAGCCTAACAGAGCAGTGTAGGTTAGTGGGACAGTGGTGGATGTGACTTACGATTCATCAAACGTGTACCCGCTGGTACATATCCGTCTAATATTGCCCCGCCACCCATTCAAATTTTTCATACTTTATGGTCGAAAACGTTGGCCAAAGAAAGTCAAAATAAGTAAGATACCAGATTTTAACGGAATACATGTTTTTAATTAATACGGAGTGCTTCATAATAAGAAGTTCTCCATATATAATACCTAATTGACTAACTCTATGATATTAAGTTCGTGGTCCTCAACATTTGAGAACTATTCCATAGTTACTCATTCATAGACTATATGTGGAAACCAATATTTGGATCAAAGGACTAATTATGGAATAATTATCAAATATAGATAACCACGGAAGTTATATCTTAAAATTTAGGACCATGTATGGAAAGCTACCTGTTATGAAAGACCATTTATTAAATTACTCTTAGTATTTTATTCGATTGTTAAAGTAAAATTTTTCTTTAAAAAATAATTAAACTTATAAAGAATCATTGAATTTTCATTAAAAAAAACATTGATTATATCATTTGGTTTTTAAATAACTTGGTAGTTTACTACTTTATCAATGACTTCAGTCTTATATTTACGTTATGCATTCATAACTTTTTATATTAATATTCAACATCTACAAGTATCTTTGAAATATTTTTAGTTAAAATGATCAATCAACTTAGTAAAAGAACTATAATAATTTAGGTAACAAGTAAGCAACTTCTAAATTTTATTTTATGCATTCAATACTTCTATTGGTAATATATCTAAAAAAAATTAAAGACAGTAATCATAAATATATGATATATAGAGAAATTTTAATAAATTAATAGATATTTTTAAACAGATTATTAAATAATTTATTTTGAAATGTATCACAAATAAATCAAATATTTAAATAAACAAACTCATAAATGTAATACAAAAAAAAATCAATCCCAATAATGATGAGCTGTTTGTTTTAACTTTTTATTTACCATAGTACATTCCTTTGACCTAGGAAAGTAGGAATTTACTTCAAAATTAGCTCAACACATATTTTCCCAACAATAAAAAAAATTTTACACCTTTTTTTAAAAGAGTTCTAAAAAAGTGTATGATTAGATTTTGTTTAATAAACGTGAAAAAAAATATTATGCTACATAAATCACGTGTTTATTTAGTACTAACAAACGAAATAGAGTAATTGAGAAGTGTTTTTTTGGGAAATCCGGGAGCGAAAATTATGAGTAAAACTTTTTTGAATCGAGAAATAGGTGATAGTAATGCAAAACTAGCTCCATAATAAAGGGAAAAGAGCTTAAATCTTAATTTTCTTGACATTTAGGCAAAGAACCAACCTTCAAGAACCAACCTTTAAATTTCAGATACTTTTTAAAAAAATGCAAAACTAACTACAAGCTACCCTTGATTGATTTCCAAGACAAAACTAAAACTAAACACTATAATAAATGCTAACCATGAAACACTTGAGTCAAATTATAACAAAAATAGAATCCAATTGATTAAATAGTTCAAAATTTTACTAACTCGTAGTTTTTTTATATCTAATTTTTGGGTGTTGATACTCTAATTTGGAGGACCAAAATCACTTAATTACACTCCCATCTTCATTAATAAATTTGAAATGATGAAATAAACACAATTAGAACATGCTAGAATATAATAACTTAAAGAGTATACTCTCACAATTCTCACACTGAAACCTAATCAACTTAATTGGGACAGAAACTTTAATGAAGGAGATGATTAAAACTTGCAAAGATCTCTTAAGATTTAAGCTGAGTTAGCAGGTTTGAAATCCAGAAGAAAAATGAGCAATTAAAATTTAATTATAATAATAATAATAATAATAATAATAATAATAATCAACAGATAGAAACAGGGAATATGAACCAAACATACCCAGAAGGAAGAAGAACATCATAGAACAAGCAAAGGTGACTCTGATGGGGCCCACCATTCCCATTTCTTCTTGGAGCCTTCTTCTTCTCCTCTCTCTCTCTCTCCTCAGTTCTTTCACTCACTCCTGCTTTTGTTTTGAAAATGAGTTGAGCATAAGATATTGTACCCAAAAATTGATTAGAAATTAGTTTGCCCATTTTAATACTTCCTCCAAAATTTGATTAGAAATTAGGCTTTTGAGACAAAATCTCTCATCTTTGAAAATTATTTTATCTATAAATTGATATATTGATAAAAAATAAAAATTACATATTAAAAAAATATGTTAAAAGTTTTACAAAATAGGGCTAACAAAAATATTTTATTTTATCAAATAATTAATGAAAATATATAAATAAACAAAAGTTATTGAGAGGAGAAAAAAAAATTGTAATAAAAATTGAGACGGAGGGAGATTTAAAATATTCTCACTATTCGAATTAAATTCTATTTAATTCTTTAAGGTTTCCAACTACACACACATTTTGACTACATAAATCACTTGTATTGGGAATATTTAAATATTCAAATTTTATTTTTTATTTTGATATCAATATTTAATTAAAACAAAATGAAAATATTTAAAATTTTGCTTTATTTTACATAATGTGGTAAATATTTCGAGACGAAAGGAGTACTAAATAAAACTATAATCTTAACTTACTTATAGTGAATGAGATATGTTCTAATCCATACTTTACAGTAGGATCTTATACTAAGCATAAACATTGACACTATTTTTGTCATTAGTCATTGATCACTTGATTTATACCTCGTGCAAAATTTGGAGACCCTAGTGCCATTAAAAAAGTGTGTCCCAAATACTTATTTTGTCCATAAATAAAATTTTCGTTGCGCCTTACGATATTTGAATGAAGTTATTTTCAAATTATTTTATATGAAAAATGATAATAAATTAAAAATTACACGAAAAAGAATACAACAAAGTAAATAAAATTTGACGATGTGAATAATGTTTGGGAACTTTATAAATTGGAGAGAGGGAGTATATTCTAAAGACAAATATAGACACTTTATATGTGTTCGACACAAACATAATGTATGTACTTCGTCCACAAGTAAACTTCTCGTTCATTATTCACAGAGTCAAACTTTATTCACTTTATTGGCCTATTTTCATCACCCATTTGATAAAATAATATAGGCATGTCACATCTAGTTTTGTACGGAGTAGATCTTTTGATATAGTTTTTTAATATGTAATTTTTATTTTTAAATTTTACACCATTTTTCATATAAAATAATATTTATTTGTCGACGGATGGAGTATTTATTTTGATATACTCCGGGGTAACACCTTTTAGTATGCCCGCATGGGTAGCTCAGTTGGTCAAGAGCGTGAAATCTTGGACCGATGACCAGGGATCGAATCCTGCAAGCGGCAGTGTGGGAGCTATCCAAAAATTCCATAAAGGGTGAAGAGGCTTCTTGTGCGCGGTGGGCACGGGTCTAGCGTTCTTGGCCGACTGAGCCACCATGATTTACATCCTCCACCATTCCTGTCGGGCAAGGGGGTGGGGGCGCCTGGGGTGGGCGATTCCACTTTTGGACCGAAGAATTAATAAAAGGGGAATGTAAAAGAGTGGGTGGGGCTAAGCTATAGTAGATTAGTGGTAGTGCAGAGTGGAGACAGATGTGAGTGAACGTAAGTTGAGCAGTTCATTAGGGAAGTGAGCCGCCCAGCAGGGGACAAAAGAAAACAAAGGAGCGGACTTGAGGACCAAACATTAAATGCATTTAATAAATGTATTTTTTTGGTTTATTCTTAGCATTTTTGATTAATTAGTGTTAAAAAAGAATAAATTTCTAAAATGATATTCAATGACATTGTCGAGCAATGTCATGGGAACCTTGGTGTTCAATAATTATACAGAGTATATCTTTCCAAATTGGTCTCCAAGATGAACTAATTAATGATATAGTAATCCTCGCGAGTCTCAACGAATAGTCATCAAAATATTTAAAATATCACATTAAATTTGTCACATTCGGTCCAAAATATTTGTCACATTTCGTGAAACGAGTCAAAATATCAAAATTTTTCAATTCATTTTATTTAAATATTGGTATAGAAATAAAAAATAAAATTTACATATTCGAAAACTACATGAAAAGTTTTTCGAAATAAAATGTGTCAAGAATATTTTATTCTATCAAATAATCAATGAAAACATACAAACAAATAAAAGTTCCCGTGATAGTTAAAAAGAAAATGTGACATTCTTTTTGGAACGGAGGAAATACTAATTTTTCATCTTTTTCTTCTTCCATCTTTCCCTTGAGCTCGAAGGTGCTCTGATCTTTCCTTATCTGATAGGTGCTCGTATCATTTTAACTTCAAAAAATGGACTAATTTGAAATAAAATCCAATTAGAAAGGACCATTCTAGGAAATAGTACAAGTTTTAATGTCGCTTTGACTCTATTTTGACGATCATTAGTCGAAATGACTAAACTAAGTATTATTTTCAATTACCAAGTACTACGTCGATAATTAGTTCATTTTGGATACCACTTTGAGAAAACACATAATTATTGAGTATCATTTTGGGCATTTACTTGTTGAATAATGAAAATGCTTGCCTCCTTATGTTGTTGCTCTATCATGTTCAATACCACAAGATATCTGTCATCTTGTTGATATACCGCGTCTCCGTCTCAATCCATACGTTGAGATCATCGTCATTATGTTAACTCTCAGGGGCCGGCCCAAGAGTAGGCCTAGTAGCCCTACCGACCCGACCCATTTGTTCTAGCCTTAAAAGTTTTAGACTTTTTTATATACCCGTATATAATATAGGTAAAAAAAATAAATTCCTCATTTACTATTCATAGAATGAAACTTTATTCACTTTGTTGGCCTATTTTCGTCACACATTTTACACCGTTTTTTATATAAAATGATTTGAAAATAACTTCAGTCAAACATCGTAACACGCAACGGGAAATTTATTTGTGGACGGAGGGAGTATATAACACCTTAACAATATTGAATTTGACCTATTATATTTTAATTTTTATTTTCAAAAAACAAAATTAGTTTATACGAAGTGCACTTAAATTCGTTTGGACTTAAGACTATATTTTTCCATCTCGTCTTGGGTCCTTGAATCATCGTGGACTCGTGGAGAGTTTGAGTTTTAACGTCCTCAATGAGCGAAATATATTGGTAACCTTTTTACTAAATAAGTAAATATATTGGAGACCTTTTTTCATCATTAAAAGCACATTAGTCCTAGAGCATACCTCACAAACCTTTTATTCCAAGTTCTCATGTCATCCACTTTGCTTCGAAAGTACATATCGTGATTTATCTGCTCTTATTGTAAAAATTTATTCTCGTTTCAATTTACAAAGTTTAATTGAAATTAGATTCAGTTAAATTTATTATTTGTAAGGAATAAATTTAAAAATAAAATTAATATATTTGAAAACACATCAAAAAGTTACAAAAAAAAATGACATGACTAATAGGTATAAATTCAGTATTGGTCGAGCCAACGATTTTTTATGGTGTAAATTAGTGGATATATAGAGCTTACTATTCTTAATTGGCCTAGAATAACGAGTTAAATCATTAAACTAATTACAAGCATGTTCTTTTGGTCTGATATGATTGGATCTGATCTAATTTTATTATGGTCCGATTTATTATGATCTAATTTTAATTATATTTAAAAATGTTTATGATATGATCTGATATAAGAGCATGGGCAATACAAATGCTTAATACATACTCCCCCAATCCGCTAAACGACCAATGAATCCTAGCCCGAGTAAACGCATAAGTTCTTTCACTGGTTGTTGGTTAAGCTTAGCTTAAACTCACCCGGTCATGATTGATAACTTGGGATAGTTCTATTTGAGTTCAAAAACATGTCCAGTCACAAAATATTACTCCCTCTGTCCCATATTTTCTTTCTGTTTTGACTTTTGTGATCAATATTTTTAAAGTTTGGCCATAAATCACGGGAAAAATACATTGAATTGTGATATATATTTAATACCAATAGATTCATTTCGATATATAGTTTTGAAATCTCATACTTTTGCATTCTACATTTCTTGAGTAATAGAAATATTAATGGTCAAAGTATTGTATTGGAGATCGTGAAAAGTCAAACATGAAGAAAGATACAGGAGATAGAGAGTAATATGTGTGGTCACAATTTACTAGGGGTGAGCATGGTACGGTATGGTACGGTATTTAGCCCGTACCGATACCGTACCAAATATTTCGGTTCGGTATGGGATTTTACACCGTACCGATCCCGATCCCGACATATCGGTTCGGTATGGTTCGGGATGGTTCGGTATCGGTTTCGGTACAAATCGGGATGAATATACATACCTACTTTACACCTTAAAGTTTAACAATGTCCCCTTATTTTTGAAAATTAAAAGTGAATTTAAATAAAAAAACGTGAAAAATTAAAAAAAATGAATATTTANCATTCGGTTCGGTACGGTTCGGTTTCTTCTCGGTACTTTTTCGGTTCGGTATTTTTCGGTTCGGTATTCTCGGTATTTTCGAGAAATTTCGGTATCGGTTCGGTACTTGCTCACCCCTACAATTTACATATTGAAAAGTTGTTTTAGACACAAGCAGTGTCCGAGCATCCCTTCCTTTATACAGCCGGTCTATTTCTCTGAGCCGCAATTATGCGGATTAATCTGCTTGACTTGGTCAAGGTTAGATTATACCCATCACCCACAAAAGGATTCTAATATTGAAATATATATACTCCCTCCGTCTCAATTTTGATTACAAATTAGAAATTACGAGGTAAAATCTCACGACTTTTGAAACCATTTTATTTAAAAATTACATATTAAAAAATTTCATCAAAAATTCTATAAAACAAGATATGACAACTCACAAATAAACAAAAGTTATCGAAAAAAGAGAAGAAATAAAATTGTAACCAAAATTGGGACGGGAGGAGTATCAAACTTATATCGCATGAGTTCACTAAATAGACCTTTAATGGAATTGAGAACTATTCTTTGAGATTCAAATTAAACTTGTCCATTTTGCAAGTTAAGAAAATGGACTTGTGTGAGTTTGTGTGATTCAAATTTATTTTGAAATGTAAAAAACAAAAGTAATCACACAATACATTTCTAGATAATCAAAAAATTCATTTTGGAACAACTAAAATGAAAGTAAAAAGAGATTGACATCAGTATTTACTCTATCATCCCGCAAACAAGTTTTACTCTCCCATTTCACGAAATTCAAGAAAAGTGTAGTAATAACGACCGCATATGCACAAGGGCATTGTTGTCATTTACTAATTTGGTTAATCTCATTTCATTCAACAGAGTATAACTAATCAAATAGAACATAATTTCTCATTCCAAATTCCTCTTCACTTCTCCAATACAGTTCATGTATTCCTTCAAAACTCCATTTGATGAACCAAACCTGCCAGTAATACAGCCAGCTTAAGGCTGTAGAACAATGAGGACAAGGCTTGTGAAGGGCAGAAACCAGATTCTCAGAGAAGGCAGAAGGAGAAAATTAACTACAGTGTGTATCTAAACTGGTAGCCGCGGAGCCAATCCTCGCCCTTTTCGTAATAGTCCATCCTACTGAAGGTCTGGTGTGGGAAATGCATCCCGGCAGCATAAGCAGAAGCCCCTCGCCAAGCATCATATATTGGATCGGAGGCTCTGAGAATCCGTATGGGGGTCCCACATGGCCTTATCATCCGAATTCCGGCTTCCAATCGCTCTGCCATGCCCGGGTAGAGACAGCTCCCACCGGTCAGAAGGACTGAACTTGTCATTCTCTCCCCCAAGGAGGCTTCTGGATCTTGCTGCTCCCATTTGGATGGTGGCAGCCTCCTTGTGCACACACCCACCATTTCATCCAACCCTGCTTGGTCAATTCCGATTAAGTTGGGGTTGAATAGGACTTCAGGACACCGGAATCTTTCTACCCCGATATTTATCTGGAAATCTTCCTTTGTTTGAGGACGAAAACGGGGTGGTTCGGAGGCAGAAGACCCAGATTCTGTCTTTGGGAAAAACGTTGGGTCGATCTCCTGCAAAAAAGGGTTTTGTTAAGAAGTTACGGAGTATATTACAACTGGTGAAGTCGCAACAACAACAAAACCCAGTATACAAAATAAACCCAACTCTGTTATGCTCTGGTGTCAAGATGCATGCAGTGTTACCCTTTTGCAAGAAAAAAAACGGAGAGGCTGTTTCCGTTAGATATATGAAGCATTGTTGCATTTACTACCAAGAACTTCATAGAGAGCAAGAAGCAAAGAAAGTTTAAAGTGGAAGGGGCTGTGTCATTTTGATTTAGTATGGTATTTACCCGAAGCTAAAGCATGGTTAATAATGACTTTTTTAGCCCCATTGGTAATGGACGCCAAATGATAAAGTGAATGCATGCACAATAAAATCTATATGTATAAGTAATCAACAATATAAAGGTCTTTTACTGACTTGAAGTCTAAAAGTGACGCGAGCCAACTCTGTTTCATCTGGATCTGGCTTCTCATCATCGTCGTCATCATTATCTCTGCTCATTAGCTTGTAAAGTTGCCAATCTTCATCTTTCTGACCAAAAGTGTCTTCACCTTTCCCTCGGTCAAATGCTGCTGTTGTTAGCAAGCGCATCCTCTCCCTTTGTTGTGCACTCAACCTCTCACCTCGACCAACACCTCCGGATACATTATGGCTTCCATTTCCATTATCTCCATTTGTCTTGAGACGTTTTCGCTGCTCAACTTTCCCCAAAAGCTCATTGTATTTAGTTCGCAACTGCTCCAAATAAAGCTCTGGGTTTTCTCTATATATATTAATAATCATATAAGAAACTGGTAAATAAGTACTCCACATATATTTCGGAAAATAACATAAATATCACAACTATGGTAGTAACATAAAAACTCAGAGGTGCATACAAGCGTCTTTCTTCTTCTAGTTTCTTCTCCCTTTCTCTTTCTAATTCCTCTTCCATTCGCTTCTGCTTAGCCCGTTCCCGTGCCTCAGTGGTTGCCTTCATAAATACCTGCTTCCTTTTCTCCCTGAGCTGTGATGGATAGAACAGATGTCCCAAAATAAATGAACCAAACAAAAAACTGAGAATTCATGAAGTTGATTCAACTCTATAGCTGATATATCGCTGTATTGTGATGATGTGGAGTACTTCTCAAAATCTTATGCTTGTTTTGTTATTAACTTAGAAAATATGGTGATGCCAGATATGTCCATGATATGGGTGAATCAAACTCATGGGAAATTGTTCCCAGACGATTGATATGAACATGCATCATTAATGCCATGCAAGATATAATATACTACCTCCACCCCAAAAAATTGGATGCTTTTTTTAACCACAAAAAGAGTATAGTGCTCAGACCAATCAAATTTTTTATGGAGTTTGCTAAAAATGCCAAAATATGGTCACAAATGAGTTACTAAAAAAATTAGTCACAGCAACAAATAATTACGGAGTACTAGATAACAAAAATACTAGTCATGATTGACAGCTGTACCTTACCAAAATGTAAAAGCTGTAAAAGCATGGCATTTTTTTGGGAGGGGAAGTAGTATTACATTTCAAAATCCATTAGAGGAGCCTCCCATTCATACCTGCTCAGCTGAAAGCTGATCATCAGGAACATCAATGAGATAATACTTTTCAGCAGCAGAAGGCTCAACTTTGTCTTCATTTGGAATTTGCTCGCCCTTGGCTTTTCTTAAAGATTGGGTTGCCTTTGAAATTGCAGATTCTAATTCTCGTTTAGAGGCGTAGCCTCTACTTGCAAGTAAAGAAGGAATATTCTCCTCCTCGATGTGGTTGAGCTCCTTTAAGAGGAGTTCCAAACCTCTTATTTCATTTTCAAGTTCATTTATTCTAGAGGATCTCTTTGCTTCAGCCATCTCTCGCAACCTTTGGCTTTGTTTCTCCTTCATAGCTGCTTTTCTAGCAATCTCTTCTTCGGAAGGGAGCTCCTCAACTGGCAATGGAATCCAAGGAAGCTGCCAACATCTTGTCTTTTCTGCAGCTTCCTTATCCCCTTTCTGTTTCATCAGTGGACCATCAAACAAGAAAGAAAGATTGAAAAAAAGATAGTTTAAAGAAATGGCAACTCATAATTTACCTGAAACATTCGAACCTCTGAAGCATAGTCAGCTGCAATATAGCAGTGTTCCATCTTCAATTCTTCAACCTTCTCCCATGTAAGCACAGACCTGGTTAGGCTCCCCAGTAAAACATAATTAAATATCCCAGTTTTTTAAAAGGAAAAAAATATAATGAAGGATAAGGAGTTGCAGAATCTACATGTGATGAGGATACTTGAGTGAAAGAAGTTGTTTTAAATAATTAGTGACATGGTATCCGCCAACATTTGTTCGGCAGCATGCTTCATATACAGGTTCTCCGTTCACAAACTGTAGGATATAATATAAACACCATATCACAATCTTCGTCATCATTTACAGAACAATGCAAGAAAAAGATACTCTCCAGAGTCACATTGGAAAATCAACATTGTGTGTGCGTATAAGAACGTAAAGAAACTAGTGTTCATATGTAATCTTTAGGACACGAGAAAATAGATACTACGGTAGTTTTCTCCAATTGTAACATAAATACATAATAGTGAGTTCTACATGCAGAACATAACATCTAATACTCTAATAGCTACTCGCGACAAGGAGATGGGTGTTGAGTTCGATTTTGATTCACTGTCAGAGATCCCCACAATTTTTGGGACAGTGGGAGTGACATGCAAATTAAGAACAATAAAATTATGGTGTTGGTATTGAAGTTAAAGTTAGAAAAAAAGCAAGAAAAGATGTGAGCCACACAAATGTTACAAAATACGGTATGTGATAAAAAGAGTGAAATGGACAAAAAAAGGTAAAAAGAGAAAAATAGTGGGACCAGTGAGACTATCTATACCAGATTGTTTTTGCTCTCATACCATGTAAATTAAATACAAGAGAATATTCTTATATTTCTTTATAAATAGATTTGTACAGATGAGCTATATTCATAGCTGTTTACAATGGTGTTATGATAATGATGAGGTAATTGTGAGCTAAGCAATGGTCTCATCATGATATCACATCTCCTAGAAAATCTACACCCCGCTAAGTCTCCCCACAATACAAATTGATATTGTAAAATCAACCACGTAAAGATAGAAATGACCATTTAAACCTGCAAACCATGGAACATGTTCCGTTACACAATAATGGTTATTGAATAAAATTTAAAAGAACTCCCCGAACTCTCAGTAATGGTGCAGTTTTATTTTGCATATACCATAAACATTAAGAAACCTTTCAAGGAAATACAGAA